TTTCCTTTGCTCATTTGTTCTGTTACTAGGTTCCACATGTGAGTTAAATCATATGGTATTTGTCTTTCTCTGACTTATTTCACTTAACATTATACTCTAGGTCCATCCATGTTGTGGCAAATGTCAGGATTTCATCTTTTGTATGACTGAATAGTATTCCATAAATATACATACCACCTGTTCTTTATCCATTCATCTATTGATGGACACTTGGGCTTTTCCATAATTTGACTATTGTAGATAATGCTGCAATGAACATAGGAAGTACATGTATCACTTTGAGTTAGTGTTTTTGTATTTTCAGAATAAGTAGCCAGTAGTGTGATTAATGGATCATAAGGTAGTTCTATTTTTAGCTTTTTGGTGAATCTCCATACTGTTTTCCAGAGTGGCTGAACCAATTTGCATTCCCATTAACAGTGCAAGAGAATTCTTTTTTCTCCATGTCCTCACATACTCACCAAAGCCTGTTGTTTATTGTGTTTCTGATATTAGCCATTCTGACTAATATGAGGTGATACCTCATTGTAGTTTTGATTTATATTTCCCTGATAATGAGTGTCGTTGAGTATCTTTTCATGTATCTGTTGGCCATTTGTATGTCTTCTTTGGGAGCAATATCTGTTCATGTCTTCTAATATTTTAAAACTTGGTCTGTTCATTGAAATAATGAAGCCTGTACTCACATGGCATAAATGATACTTTTGCAGTATAATATCTTACTATATTTTATAGAATTTGAGAGGCTTACATATTTGTTTTTATGCCTATAATTAATTGTGATTCTTGTCCTATGAAACTAAATTCTGGAACATCTTTACAAACAAGTTTCAAATATATTTAAAAGGAAAGAATTACCCAGTGTTTAGGAGAGTTAGTAGAAGTACACACACAAGCACAAAAGTCTGTGGAAATGCATTTATGTGTGTGTATGTATGTGCATATATATATATATGAAATCATAGTGCACATTTTTTTAAAAAAACATGTATCTAAAAAAAATCATGTATCTGTTTCTTGAATCTAATCTATGGAATTCAAAGGTAGGGAGGGAGAAGGGAAGGAGGCCAAACAGAATAATTTCTGTAATTGAGATATTAGTAAAAATATGCTTTCCATGAGCAAATAAGCCATCTCTATACCCAAGGATTCCTGAGTCCACATGTGCACTATACATACATATATTTGTTACTATGTCATGAAAATTAAGGAATACCCAGCATTTCTCTAAATTTAGAGGGGAAATTTTGGATAACAAAAGTTAAAGACTATGTGGCATACATAAAATTCAGTTTGGGAATTCTGAGGAGCACCTTCAAAACAGGCACTCACCTCCTATGGGTGGCTAAAACTAAGACTGCCCATAAGTAATAAGACATCAGGTAAAATCACAAGACCATGCTCCAACAGAAGTTAATTCTCAAATGGAAACTCTGTATGGTGGGTTCCAGAACAGGTAGCAGAATATATTTATCTACTGTCCACCAGGTGATTTTCCTCCTAAGCTTTGTTATAGTTTTGAATAAATGACATCCATGCTCTAACAGATTTTACTATTTTATAAATACATAAATTAAAATAATTGTTCAATAAGTACAGTTTTGAAGCTATTTGGTTAGATCAATTCTTCATTCACTTTGGGAATCACTTTTCTGTTTATCTCCTTTTTTTAGTTGCAGGAATAGAACTTTCTAATCCTAGGAAAATACAGATTTTATTTTTTATTTTATTTTTTTAAATCACACCCAGCACTGAGAGGAACCCGTGCCTAATGAGCATATTTGTGCTTCTGTACCAGAACTCTGCTCCTGAAAGTCAACCAATCAGGGACAGCCCCTGCTTCTGACAGCCAAGCATCGACTCTGAAGACCCCGCTTCTGGGCTAAAGGCCAACAAACCTCTAAACAGACTTTTCTGAAAGATCACCCACCAATTCTGAACACCACACTTCCAACACACTCTGTTTGATCAGCAGTTTTGATGCCCCATGTCCTGCAACTACAGATCTGCCTTCCCTAGGAAGCAACAAATTTACCAAATCTTGCTTTGGTACTTTGGTGGGAGCTCACCACTTCCTTCATTCTTTGATAGCAGTGAGTTTCTGAATGAAAGGATGCAGGAAAGAAAGTGCATCCCTCTCTTCTTATCCACCAAAATTTGGTTATGGCACAAGCTTTCCCCCAACACTAAACTATCCTTAATGTACAGTGTATGCATCTTAATTTACTACTTACTGGTCTGCATTTTTCTCTTTCCAAAAATGAGATATGTGTACTAGTTGCAGTTTGGAAGACCATTTTGCTGGTGCGGAGATGAACCTCAAAAGTGCGTATGTGCAATCTTTAATATATATTTGAAAGAAATGTAAAACTGACATATAAAATCAGTGATTTCAGGAATATTATTGCTTAAGTCAAAGTGAACATAAGATGCACATTTGAAAATGAATCCGTTTATTTTATTATTATTTTTTTTGAATTTTTTATTTTTTATTTATTTATGATAGTCTCACACACAGAGAGAGAGAGAGGCAGAGACATAGGCAGAGGGAGAAGCAGGCTCCATGCACTGGGAGCCTGATGTGGGATTCGATCCCGGGTCTCCAGGATCGCCCCCTGGGCCAAAGGCAGGCGCCAAACCGCTGCGCCACCCAGGGATCCCGAAAATGAATCCGTTTAAAGAAAAATATTGAATAAACAAAATAAAGATGATTGTTATGGTAAAATAATAATGTTAGTATACAAATATTTAAAGTTTGACCAATGTGCACCACATATTATAAGCTCTTTGAAGAAAGAGATTAGCCCCATCACTTCTGCCTAACACAATGTCTAGTACATAGAAAGTGTTGGGTAAATATTTGCTAACTGAATGAGTAGAATTCCAGATGAGAGTATGAATAATCAAGAAAAATCACAAGAGCCACTGTAATATTAGATAACAATGGCCACAGGAAGTAAGGGTAAAAACATAGTTTGGTATGATGCTCTTCAAGAAATTTTGAGGATTTGTGCCTAAAATGACCTTCTTATTCAAACTTATCTGAAAACTCTTAGCATTTGTCTTTGTAACTCATTTGACATGTAAGCATATTTTCTTTTGTATTAATGGAAAGAACTTACAGTTTGGCATTTTGGTTCACAAAACAATTTCACATATATTATTGATTAGATTGTTTTAGCAATTTGATTAGATAGGGAGGGCATGCTTTTCTATTTTGTGAGAAAACTAGGGCTCATGGGGGTTAAATGACTTATTCACCTTGAATAAATACTTATTAAGCACTTATCCAGTGCAAGGATCAAGTGTCTTGGAATTGCACAGGAAGCTCATTGGGCTTTTCATTTTGTGGAGGTGCTTAGGTGTTGACTAGGTCTAAGTTCTGGATTTTCATTTTGTGGAGGTGCTTAGGTGTTGACTAGGTCTAAGTTCTGGATTTGCTTTGTGATTGGTAAGGCCATAATTTTTTCTGATAGTATATAAAAACTAGGATTAAGATCTTTAACTCTATAGAACTCCTTCAAATGTAAGGAAAAGGCTCTGTGTTTTGAGAAAATAGTTTAAATAATAGAACCAATATCTTAACTCTATGTAGCTAATACTTTTCCTTCTATTCCTATTTTGTTAGAGTTTTAGTTTAGGGATTGTTGAATTTTATCAGATACTTTTTTTCAGATGCCATTTGTATGTTTATAATGTTTTTTTTCTTTCATTTGTTGATATAGTGAATTATATTGATAGATTTCCTAATTTGGGGCCATGATTAAAATCTTGGAACAAATGTTTTTAGTCAGTATATTTTTCCACACATCTTTGTACATTCCATTGATTGTATCTTATTTATTATTTTTATATCTATATCCATTAATGAGATTGGTCTGTGAATTTGTTACTATGTACTCTTTGTAGCAGGTTTGACAGTTTATGATATCATGAAATTCACTGAACAGTCCACCATCTTTACCTACAAGGTGTAAAGTAGAAGATAAGCTCTTCAAGAACAGGGGCCTTATTTTATTTAATATTGTATACTGCAGCCTAAAACAGTAACTTGATATATACTAAGCATTGCTATTTTTGATAAAAAAATATTTACACTCTTTCAACCTCTTCTATATTTACCTGATCTACTCAAGTTTTCTAATTCTTCTTCATTTATCTGGGTTCATTATATTACCCATTTTCTTTATATTTTAAATTTTGTTGCCATAGAGTTTCCTGTAGTATTCTCTTGTATACTACAAATTTATTCTTTTTCTGGATGTAGTTGGGTCTCCTTTATCATCCATAACCTTGCAGCTTTTCACCTGTTTTCTCTCTTCCCTTTCCCCCTTGATTTTGGATTAGGAGATGTTTACTTCTTTTCAGCTTGTCAGAGGATTAGCTTTTGTATTTATCTCTTCTACTATTTTTGTTTTGTTTTCTAGTCCATTACTTTCAGATTGTATATGTTAATTCTCTTTTTGTACTCTGTCTTGGTAGGTTTTGTTGTTTCACATTTTTTTGAGATGAATGTTAACTTTTCTTAATTTCATTCTTTCTTTTTATTTTATTATTTTTAAAAGATTTTATTTATTTAATCATGAGAGACACAGAGAGAGAAGCAGTCTCCATGCAGGAAGCCTGATGTGGGACTCGATCCTGGGACTCCAGTTTCATGCTCTGGGCCAAAGGCCAGAGCCAACCACTGAACCACCCAGGCGTCCCATCATTCTTTCTTTTTAAATATAAAATAATTTAAGGTTATAGCTTTTGCCAGGAAAATTGCTTTTGCTGTTTCCCATACATTTTAGTGTTTACTGTTTTCCATAAGTATTAGTGTTTCCTTTTTAATTCTTTTCAGATAGAATGTAATTTTAGTTTTGCTTGCCCTTTAAGACAAAGATTATATAGGAAAGTCATTAATTATTTTAAAGAAGATAGTATTTTACTATTATATTTTTCTTATTTTATTGGATGATTTTTAGAGTATAGGATTTATGATAAAAAATTTTTATTGAATGCTCACTTTGGCAGTACATATGTTATAATTGGAATGATACAGAGATTAGCATGGCCCCTGCACAAGGATGACAGGCAAATTTGTGAAGTATTCCATGATTTTTTAGCAGCACACGAAATAAGTGATGGTGAGGATGCAGAGAAAGGAGAACCCTCTTGCACTGTTGGTGGCAATGCAAACTGGTGTAGCCACTCTGGAAAACAGTAATGGAGGTTCCTCAAAAAGTTGAAAATAGAACTACCCTATAATCCAGCAATTGTACCACTAGGTATGTACCCAAAGGATACAAAAATACAGATTCAAAGGGGTACATGTACACCAGTGTTTATAGCAGCATTACCAACAATAACCAAACTATGGAAAGAGCCCAAATGTCCATTGACTGATGATTGGATAAAAAAGAGGTGATATATATACACAACTGAATATTACTCAGCCATCAAGAGGACTGAAATCTTGCCATTTGCAACCATGTGGATGGAGCTAGAGTGTATTATGCTAGGCAAAATAAGTCAGTCAGAGAAAAACAAATACCTTATGAAACAAAATAAAGGAACATAAGAGAAAGGGGGAAAAGAGACAGAGAGAGGGAACAAATCATAAGAGACTCTTAACTATGGAGAACAAACTGAGCGTTGATGGAGGGGAGGGCTAAATGGGCGATGGATATTAACGGGGTCACTTGGATTGACCTGAGTGTTAAATGTAAATAATGAATCACTAAATTCTACTCCTGAAACCAATATTACAGTATATGTTAACTAACTAGAATTTAAATAAAAAATTGAAAAAAAATGAAGTCTTATTTGTATCCAAATATGTAATTGATTTTTATAAATTTATATTAAATGTAACAAAATATTCTCTACTCCCCAAATATGAGATTCAACACATCAATTGAATAAAGTTGATCAAATATATTATTAAATTTCTCTATGTCCTTATTAATATTTTGTCTACTTGATCTGATTGTAAGAAATATGTTGAAATATGCCATCACTAATTTTTTACTGGGTTCTCTTGAATCACTATTAGTTTTTGCTTTATTTCTTTAACTTTTCTGTTTTTCAGTATCTACAGAGTTAGGATTGTTTTTCTGCTTCATAAATTATACCTTTCAATATTTTGTAATATCTCTTTTTTCTACCTAGGAATTTTAATTTTAAAGCTAATCTTAGCCTGATATTGCACTTCCTGTTTTGTTTTTATTTATATTTGCAAAGTCGTAGGTCTATCCCTGTATTTCCATGTTTATCTATTCTCTTTAATTTTGTTTCTGGTAAATAATAAATAGTTCAAATATTATTTTTACTCCAATCTAATATTCTCTGATCTTTATTGGGAGAATTTGTCATTTATGTTTGCATAATGATATACTTGATTTTATTTAATACTCCATACTTCGTTATTTATTTTAATTTTTTAATGTCTATTAAGTTGTTATTAACTTTATTAATTGCTTCTTCCCCCTTATTACCTAAGGATTTCTAGTATAATTTTATTTTTCGTAAATGGTCACCTTCATTTTCCTTATGGCCATAATTATACCCACATTTATTTAATATCATATGAAAACAAGATCAAAACTCTTTCCCTAATTAAGGCTCTTTAATCCTCTGCTTCTCCTTCTCCTCCTAATAAGGTGAGAACTTTAGAATATTTTCACTTGCTCACTAGTTTCCCCTAACTCCATCTGCACACCATATGAGATTTCTGGAATGTTTTTATTTTCCCCTTCTTTCTCCCATCTAAACTCCTTCTCAAATAATTTTATACTTTTAGTTTCACACGATTATTAGAATTTTTCTTGCAGAGTGCCTTTTTAATTAAAAAAAAAACAACTCTTCTTTATCCCTCAGTGTACAAGTTCCCAGAGAACCTATCATTATTCAGTTATTTTTAATTATAAATATATTACCAAATTCTTTTCTCATCAACTTTACCTCTTCTTCCATGACCACTATCATGAAGTTCAGATTTATCATTTTCTGGCTTAAGTCTTTTCTTAAACATTTCCTCAGGTGGGGTATATGGGTGATGTAATCTCTGCAAATAGCATACTTCTAGACTGTTAAGGAATAATATCTTGTCACATATCCAGTCCTTTATTCTAAAGCATCTGCAGATATTATTCCACAGTCCAATTGCTTTGGAATTGCAAGAATTCTCTACCAATCTAATTCCTTTTCCTTTGTATATTACTTGTGTCTGTCTGGATGCATTAAATACTTATGTGTCTTCATCATTGGATTCCAGTAATTTGATAAGGACACATCTAGCTGCAGTACTATCTCAGCAGTCTGATCTGGAACTTGATGAGCAGTTAAATATGCTGGACCAGGTCTTCAGCTCAGGGAAATTTTCTTCAATCATGTATTTAATCATTGTCTCTTCCATTTGTCACCTCCATTTTTTCTCATAAATCTATTTTCCAAAGTACATATTTTTCTCATATTTCTATCATGTTTTTTTTTCTTCTCCCCCTCTATGACTTAACATATTCCTCTACCAGATATTCTAAGGCATCAACTTGAGCATCTATAGTGCTGACTTTCTCTTTCACTTCATCTATTCAATTTTCAAGTTTAAAAAGTCATGTGGTTTTTGTGCTAGGAATTATTCTGAGTACTATATTCAGATCTCTTTACAAGTTTCTTTCCTTTTAGATCTAGTTTTAAAAGAAGCAGCTCTATATCTTTAGTAGTTTATTCTGAGTTTTCTTGTTTATTCTGCTTTCTGGCTTATATGCCCTTTTAACAAAATGTCACTTCTGTATTTGCTCATTTGGCCACATTATATGAGAGTGCTCCTGAATGTGCTGGAAGGTGCAGCCATCCTGCCTGGTGGGTCATTGTACATACAGCTGACTGCATTCCTCCTGTCTCAGTGCTTGAAGACAGAGCTTCTCTGCTTCTATTGTCTCCAAATCTCAGAGGTAGAGATGAGTAAACCTAACTGTTAACCTTCTCTTCAAATCCCTAAGGTCAGGGAGACTCTGAAGTTCAGAGAGCTAAAATGGACTTTTTAAGAAGGACTGATTTATGATCCTTGCTTGGGCTTTTGTACTGAGCCCTAGAATGCTGACCCAAAGAGGAGGAAGTGTGGAAGCATGTCTTGGCTTACCCCTGCCCATTGGCCTGCAAGAAAGTGGCTGAGTTGAAGTCAGAACCCTGAATAGAAGGCTGTGGGATGCCTCAAGCCACCATCTTCCCAGAGTTCTCTCTAAGTTTTCTTTTAGGGGAGTATTTCTGGAAGCTTGCCAACTTGAACATATTACTAGTTCTGCCTTTGCCACTAACTGATAATGCACATTTTGACTAGTCACCTACCTCTTTGGGCCCCCAAGTGCCATCACTGAAATAACTAGGTCTCTTCCTTGAGTCTAAGACATCCTCATTCTTCCAGTGCGTTAGTTGGCTCAGTTGTATAACTGCCATATATTCAAGTGAGAATTGCCATTCCCCGTATCAACTGTGAGTAAGAAAATTATTTTGGAGTAAAACTTGGCAAAACAAGATCTTGAGCTGCCAATAAATTATTCTGCAAGATTTCAAAACATTAAATTTTTGCATTCACTCACAAAGTCAAGCCAATTTTGCTTAAAGGAGCACTATTGTTTGAGTTGAAAAAAAATCAAACCTAAATTGTGATTATGCATCTGGCATTTCTAATATAAGTATGAAAGCAATAGATCTGCCTGTTTTTTGCTAAATCACACAGGCTGCAAAAAGTATATACACATATGGAATTTCTTTTCACATTCAGAAAGTTAAACTCAAATTCTAACTGTGAAGACTTGTTCCTGAGAAGCATGAGGGACAAATGCCTAAGAATTTTTATAGTACTATTTTGTAGAGATAACTTGTCCCTTTTTCTTTTTAAGCTTTTACCTTTTATTGCTCCTTTTAGGTTATGTTTATTTAACAAAATTCAGTTATTGAAGAAACCACAAACCTAAGTACCAGGTGTACCCTCTAAATGCTCATCTGGAGCACTTTAGTGATTTCTTTGACTCCTGTATGCTTTCCTTGCCTGAAGTGTTCTTCCTGTCTCCTTCCTGTTCCTATAATTTGAAGGCATAATGGCCTTTCAATTTCTAATATTGAGTCTTTTGATTCCAGCAGCCATGGATGTAGGGCTAGAAGTTAGGAAATTTTAAACTTAGACCCTTCACATACAGAATTATAGATAAGTCAGTCAATTCTACAAACCAATTTAGAGCCCTTTGTATTTATTATAGTTATATGTGTAAACTTTTATTCTTCTCTCCTAGATTATGAGCAGCTTGAGGGTGGGATCTGTGTCTCTGTCATCTGCGATCTCCTAAAGAAATAGGATTAGTCCCTCATACAATAGATGTTTACTAGTTTACATCAAAATCATTTGAGTTACTACATTTTTTTCTACTTAACCTCTTGCTTATTCTTAATTATATATTTGAGGACATATGAACTAAGGTTAAATTTCCCCAATCCAGTTAAAGTTGTTTAGACAAAGCCCCCATTTCCTTGATGCCCATTAAGAAAAGTTAATGCCGGAATCCAAAGATAGTGGTAGGTAGAAGCTGGTCTTCCACAAAATGTAATTTAAAAATGCATACCATCACCTCCACTATTACCTCATTACAGAAGGTTCACAAGCAAGCATTAATCTTTCGCTGCTGAAAAGTGGGAAACTATACTAAAGGTCAAAGAATCAAACCAAATTGTATGATTTTTTTCTTTGATCTAGAATGGACAAGCATTTCATGATTCAAAGTTTTGGGGATTTCTCTTTCTTTTCTTTCTTTCTTTTCTTTTTTTTTAATTTTTTTTAAATTTGTTTATTTATGATAGTCACAGAGAGAGAGAGGCAGAGACACAGGCAGAGGGAGAAGCAGGCTCCATGCACCGGGAGCCCGACGTGGGATTCGATCCCGGGTCTCCAGGATCGCCCCTGGGCCAAAGGCAGGCGCTAAACCACTGCGCCACCCAGGGATCCCTCTTTCTTTCTTTTCTTTTCTTTCTTCTTTCTTTCTTTCTTTCTTTCTTTCTTTCTTTCTTTCTTTCTTTCTTTCTTTCTTTCTTTCCTTTCTTTCTTTCTTTTTCTTCTTTCTTCTTCCC